AAGAAGTTTACAAAACTAGAGCTTGTGTAGAGGTTGGAGGCCCAGTCCTCAGTCTGGTGTCCCCTGAGGCGGATCTGGGGATCTGAGGAAAGAGGGCCCCTGGCATTCCAGCACTTCCTGTTTTCCTGGCCAACCCTACTTTCCTGATTCCTGGGGCAAGTGAGCCTGTTCTACAAGGGTGGGTGGGAGGCCCCTTAGGGAAATTCTGACTCTAACTCTTGTCAATAAAGTCAGTGACACATGACAACTGGCCTGGGCCAATTCCTCTGGCGGGCGCTGTGTTTTTAGACGGGTGTGCATGGGTGGGGGTGGTTATGGGCATCCATCTCTATCGGGATGCTCCTTCTTTCCTGTCTCTCAGCTCTGCGTGCCGAGGCCTCTTTGTGTATAGCCTCCCAGAATCCTGGTCCTCCAGGAGTCATGGAAGACGTTCCTGACAAGCCTCAGCCTGCACCCTTACAGATCTTGATCCAAAGGCAGTAGATATACTCTCTCCCTGTGTCCAAATATGAGATCTCATGCAAGAGAGCTGACTGGTTCTAACTGAGTCACATGATGGCCCCTTGGGCCAATCACCAAAGACAAGGTGATAGAATGCCATGATTGGCCAGATGTGGGTCATGGGTCCATCTTTCCAGCTAGAGAGAAGGTGGGACACTGTGATGGACAGTTTGGCCTGAACAGTGGGGTAGGAGTTGGGTCAGGGACTGACTATCAATGGCAGGGAGAGAAGAGCCAGGCAGCAACAATAATGGGATGGGGGAAGGGTGTGTAAACGGAGTGCAGGGCACATAGTAGGTGCGCAGGGCATCTCAGCCATATCCACGAGTGAATGTGTATTGGGGTGTAACACTGAGGGCCTGCTGTGTGTGTGGCAGGTGTGCACGGGGTGGGAGCAGAGGATCTGCTTGCAGCCCAGGTTGTGTGGGGAGCGGGCCTGGGCCAGGGTCCCCTCTCTGGATCCCACACCCCTCCAGCTTCCCTATCTCACCATATGTCACTACCTGTGCATGCTCTTGTGCGTTTGTGTGTGTGTGTGTGTGTGTGTGTGTGTGTGTGTGTGTGTGTGTGGTGTCCCAATAGCTTTGTCCTTCCAGGCAGGGGCTGTGCCTGATGCATCTGTGTTCACAGGGCCTGGCAGTGCTGTGGGCCCCTCATATGACTATTTGGAATAAATGACTGAATGGGGGAAATTCCATTTCTCAATTCCAGGGGGGAATTTTCACACTGTGACTCTAGCCTCCTTTGGATCTGTGCAATGTGGTGACCCTTAATAAATGGGGAGGGGGCATCAGGGGAATGGAAGGAGTTATATGGGGGTTTGGGGCTGGGATCTGTGGGTTATGGGAACTACAGGGGCTGTGGGCTGAGGGCAGGCTGTGGGGCTGTGAGCTCGAGCCGGCAGGAAGGGGTGGCGATGACCCTCTCTGCCTGATTCCGTCTCTCCAGACATCCAAGTTGCTCAGACCCAAGACCTTACCTTGAACTTGTCTCTCCGAGGCTGTTGCCTGGCAACAGCCCATGGCCGCCAGGCTCTGGAACAGGACTTCATATGTCAGCCTCAGCACCAGCAGAAAGGAGTCAGGAGCCTGTAGGCCCTGGGATAGGGGAGGCCAAGGCCCCAGGGCTTCAGGCCCTCCTCACCTCCAAGGGGTGGGGGAGACAGAGGCCACAGTCCCATGGGGAGGTGACAGCCTGGGTGCCACAGGACTCCAGACACAGAAGAAAGCACTCTAAAGGCGGCAAGAACCCCAGGCTGTAATGTGAGGAGCTTTCCCTGGAGCTGTGCAAGGCCACGGTCCTGCCAAAACCTCAGGGTGCTCCCCTGTCACTGGCAGGCCCTGGTGAGACTCTTGGTGATTCTACTGGAAGGCCATGGGGCAAACACATCCCCCAAATGTCATGAGACCCAAAGTCAGGAGGCCTGGGACCTAGGCCCACCCTGCCATGAACCTACCACACAGCCTTGGCCATTCACTGACCTCTCTGGGCAAAGTTCATTAAGTTAATACAGACTTTTCTGAGCACTCACTGTGTGCAAGGCCCTGACACCGGGCTGGGGAAACAGACACGGTTCCCGGGCCTTGTGGCGCTCACAAGCAACCGCACAAGTAAATGGACCACTATCCAGTAGGGACGGCAGTGCCCTGTGCTCTGGGGGATCACAGCTGGGGGGAGGGGTCCGTGTTGGGGGCGGCACTGAGAGCAGAGGGTGAACCTGAGTGTGCCCGGCAGGGAGGCTGTATGTGCTAAGGCCCTGGGGTTGAAGGAAGGAAGTGAATGAAAGGGAGAAAAGCAGAGGTGAGGCCCAATTCAGGGACAGAAGCTGTGTCAGACAGGACCGCCTAGGAGGTTTAATTCCAGTTGTGCATTGAATTGTGTACCGCTCCCCCTTCAAATTCATATGAAGCTCTAACCTCTAGTACCTCCTGATGTGACCTTATTTGGAAATAGGGTCCTTGCAGTTATAAGCAGCTAAGATGATGTCACCCTGGAGTCAGGTGGGGTCCTATTCCAATATGACTGGTGTTTTTAAGAAAAGGGAAGATTAGGACACGGACACGAGCATGGGGAAAATGCTGGAGTGATGTTTCCACAAGTTAATGCCAAAGATTGCCAGCAAACCACCAGAAGCCGGGAGAGAGGCCTGGAAGAGGTCCTTCCTCACAGTCCTCAGAAGGAAGCAACGCTGCCTGACACCTTGACCTTGGACTTCTAGCCTGCAGAACTATGAGAAAATACATTTCTGTTCTTTAAACCACCTAGTTTGTGGTACTTTGTTCTGGCAGCAAACTAATACAATTCCCACCTGCAAAACGGAGCCAACAGTCCCTCCTCTCCTGGGTCTCTGGAGGACCTTGGACTAATTCATTCATTCTTTCCTTCAACAAGTGTTTACAGAACAGCCGCCAACGCAAAAAGCTGAAGGCAGAGAATTACAAGGCGTGGCTTCAGGGGTGAAGGAAGCTGTACTGAACATAAGAGATAAAGAGGTGGTTCTTAAGCCCCCGGAACCTGGAACTGTCTGGTTTTGAATCCCGGCTCATCCATTCACTAGCTGTTTGACCTAGAGCCAGTTAATTAAACTTCCTGTGCCTCAGTTTCCTCCTCTTTGAGATGAAGATGAGAGTAGATGTCTACGGTTAGGAAGATTAAATGAACAGAGATTTATAAACAGCTTGGAACAGTGCATCGCAGGTGCTATGTGTTAAATAAACATGAGAAGTGCTTTAGCAGAAGCAAGAATCCAGCCGTGGGTTGGGGAGGACGTCTCCCCGGAAGGGTTATAGCCCAGCCAAGCATCAAGAGGGAACTGGAGTTTGTGCACAAGGAGGAGGCATGCGAGATGTTCAGGGTACTAAGAACAGCTCTGCTACCCATTTTACAGCTGAAAATAGTGAGGCCTGGGATGGTCTTGTGATTTGCCCAGGGTCACAGCACCAGAGGCAGGACCAAGAATCACGTTTTCCTAGTTCCCAGTCCAGTGTCTGTAGCTTTTAGAAACTATGAAATTGAGGGCCAGGGTGGCAGGAGTGATGCTGGGGGTGGAAAGAGCTCTGAGGCCAATGGTGCCAGTTCCTTGGCGGCCACTGGCGGTAACAGATGATGTCCTTGGGCAAGACTCAACAGGCATGAAGGGCAGCCCAGACCAGCAGATCGATGATGTCAGGACAGACAGGGGCAGTGACGTCATCATCCTGCTGGTGGGCAACAAGACCGACCTGGCCGACAAGTGGCAGGCGACCATCCGGGAGGGCGAGCAGCGTGCCAAAGAACTGAGCGCCACGTTCATCGAGACCAGTGCCAAGACCGGCTACAACGTGAAGTAGCTCTTCCAACGTGTGGCCTCGGCTCTGCCTGGAATGGAGAACGTCCAGGAGAAAAGCAAAGAAGGGATGATCGACATCAAGCTGGACCAACCCCACGGGTCCCTGGCCAGCAAGGGTGGCTGCTCCCGCTAATGCAGTCTGACCGCTGGCTTCCTCTGACATTACTCACTTGTTGCGAGCACCCTCTAGCGAGCCCTGCAGCCTCGGCATAGGCCTGCCTGGCAGGCTAAGGTGGTGTGTACCCAGGAGTGAATGTCAGTGATACACTCATGCACATACGTGTGCACGGAGAGCAAAGCCAGTCTTCACTTTTTCACAGGCTCAAAGAAAGTGCCCGGGGCCACACTTGGCCTCCTCCAGGGTCCCAGACACCCCAGGTCCTGGCTCACACAGCCTAGGGACACAGCCTGTACACAACCAGGATCTCCTGCCCTCTGGCCATCTTGTTAACAGGAAGGGAAAATGAGGCCTGCAGGAGTACGGGGCCTCTCGGTCCTGCTCTCTGCGTTAATGACAGGAAATATGTCAATATTTGCACACAGGAACTGCTGGCCTTGCTGCACTTGGTCAGTGTGCCCAGAGCCTGCTTGGTTTCACCATCTGTAAGAGAGGGGTTGTCTCTGTGCTTGGCGCGGGCCTTCAGCCCGCTCATCAGACAGGGTGGGTCCTTCCTCCTTGCTGACCATGATAAATGGCAGCAATTATGGGGAGAACAAAGCAAACACACAATGCGCATTGACATGGGTCGTGTGGCAGGTGAGCTCACGGCCACACAATCCATTTCGAGCCTCACAGCCACCACATCTTAGCTCTGCGTGCCTTTGGGCCAGCCTCAAAACCTCTTGGAGCCTCAGTTTCCTCATCCATAAAATGGGCTCTGTAGCCCCATCTCACAGGACTGTCGCAGGACCGGGAGGCGGCGGGTTGGCTCCGGCCGACGCCAGCACTGTGCTCTGTGTCAGGCAGGGGGCGCCGCGTAACCTTCCCCTCTCCGCCTGGCGCCCTCAGCCGCTCCGGTCGGCCGGACTCGGCTCTATTCGGCACCAGTCGGATCCACTCGGTCAGACCCGGCGATAATCGGACGGACACGCTGGGCTCGGCCGGACTCGGCTCTGCTCGGCCAAGTTCGGCTTTGCTCGGTTCTGTTCGACTCCGCCGGGAGCTGGACTCGCAAAGGGCCCACCCCGGCGCCGCAGCGGCTCTTTCCTCTCGTCTCGCTGTCTGCTTCCCGGATAGAGGCGCGGTGGCCGGAGCAGAGCCGCTCCCGCCGTCCACAAGCCGGCGGGTTTCTCCGTGGCGGGGGTCTGGTCTGGCTGAGCCCTAGGTGGTGCCAAGAGTGGCTGCAGCTGGCTGCAGTCTTTTCCCAGGGTTTGAGCCCTAAGCGGGTGGGCATGGAGGGGCTTCCCCGGCTTGGGGGTGGGAGTCACTCCCCTTAATTCTGCGGAGAGAAGCGGGGAGGATGGCGCTGGCCTCCCGCGTGCCTTGGCGACCCCATCACCCGGCTCGGCCACTAGTCAGCCGTGGGGAGGGAGCCAGGTGCTTCACCTGTCTCCCTGAGCCTCAGTTTCCCACTCTGTAGCAACAGGGTCCTCGTCAGGGTCCAGGAGGACTGGGATGGGGCTGGCTCTTTCCTTCTCTGGGCCCCCTGGGGATTCTCTTTCCCCTTCTGTAAAATGGGATTAAACTCGCCCATCTCGGATTAACACCCGTAGGAACGGACATGGGTTGCTGAAAAGCCCAGGACGCAGAAACTGAGTCCGGAGAGCGAAGTTCACCCGGGATGACCCAGCTAGTCGAAGGAGGGGTATGCAGAGCCAGGAAGCCGAGTGAGCGAGCTGCTTTGGAGAGGGAGGGTCACATCGGACCCTCTGCCCACTTTGCAGGAAGTGGGGTTTGGAGGAAGAGGTGAGCGAACGGGCGCCGCAGCCAGCCCCTAGCACGTCTTAGTGGGCCCTTCATCTTTCCCCTTCTCCCCTCCTTAGCTCTCTAAGAAGGGGACGGGTGGGGAGCATCACAAACCCGTGGTGGAATGGGGTGGGTGCCAGGCGCATAGCCTCTCCCCACTAGGTGGCGCTCACGGTTTCCTTTGTTTAGTTTCTTTATTACCGTCCTAGAACAATTAGATCATTAGCCAAACACGACTTGCATAGCTGACTCCGGGAATCATGTTTTGGGTTCTGTCTCACTTTATGACAGGCACACATTTTATTTTTTAAAAATGCATGAAGGGTTCTTGGTGCTTTGTAAGCACTGACTAAATGTCACTATTTTTATATCTTCTTCCCAACCTTGGGCTGGAAGGTGGATGTGGCTAGGAGCCTGGTTCTGAGAGTTGGGGAGTGTGTGTCTCATCTGTGTGCATGAGGAGAATGGGCTCATGCCCTCACCATGTTCAGGGTTTAACCCGGGAGAAGCAGTGCTCGGTGGCCGGTGTAGAGTACCCCCACTGGTTATCCCACCAGGTTGCTCAGATGGTCTTGGCCTCCTCATGTGCCTCTGGCCTCGGGTCACCAAGGCTCAGAGGTAGGGAGACATGCCCAAGGACACGAAGCTAGAAGGAGGTGGAGCTGAGACGTAACCCGGTTTTGTCTGCCCCAGGGCTGGGGCTCTGTCTCCACACTGCCTGGCTGGCCTGCTGGGCAGCTCCTCAGAATGGCGGGGGACCAAGGGCTGATGCAAAAATGGGGTAACTTGCGACCTGGTGAAAGAGAGAGGGAGGAAAACTGTTAGAGTAGTGTATAATATTCCTGAGTCCCACTCTCTTGTCTGCCCTGCCCCCAGCCAGCTGCCTTGGACCAAGGGGGATAAGGGACCCTTTTCTGGGGCATTGACGTTGGCTGGGAGTCAAAGGAGCTGGTCCTAGAACCTGATGAGAATCATGTGCTTTTCCAGACCTCACCTGTCAAGTGAGATGAGGCTCCTTCTCTGCAGAGGGGCTGTTGAGCGTGGCAGGGAGCACACAATGGGCCCTGGACCAAACCACTTCTGTGTCCCCACCCTGCTTCTCCACATCCCCCGTCCGTCTTCCCTTCTCTTCGCTTTTTCCTCCGATGCTAGGCTTCCTAAGTCAGATCTCTGTGAGGCAGCCAGGAGCTGTGTCCTGCCCCCGTGGTGCTGAGTCAGCCCTTTTCCCGCTGGAGGCAGCAGTGAGGCGAGGGTGGGGAGGGGGCTCCCTCGCCTCCCTCCCTCTGCAGCCCTGGCTCCGTGCCCTGGGAATGCTGCCTGGGGCAGGGCCACGTAGCGGGCACAGCCAGTGTGGACCTGACAGTTTTCCCAGTGTTCTTAGGCCTTCCATCTGCTTTCCTTTGGGGCCCCTTGAACCCCTAAGTAGGCCTGGGGTGAGGGTGGGGTACTCCAAGTGGGTTGGGAGTGGGAAGCAGCACAAAACTGGAAGCTGGGGGAGTCTGGCCCTCATCCCAACGTGGACTCCAGTCTGCTGTCTGACCTTGAGCCAAAGACTCCCTGCCCTCCCTGGTCACAGTGTCCCTGCTGGACAGATTCAGGAATTGGATTAGATCATCTCTAAGGGTCCTTCCAGGCCTGGATATTCTGCTGTGTGTTTATCCCCCAAAGTAATAAAAAAACAGAAGCTCAGAGATGGGAGATGGTCAAGGACACACAGCCAGGGCTGTTCCATCCTCCACACTTTGCCCAGCTGTGAGTGGGGCCTGGGGGTTAGTGCCCAAAGCCCCAGACTTCAGTAAGTCCCCCTAGGTCGCTGCGTTCCTGTGCCTCCTGAGAGCGATAATGTCACCACCTCTCTCTGCCCAGGGGGCAGGCCCTGAATTGCAACCTTTGCCCGCAACCGTGCCCAGCTGTGCCATCGTGGGAACTCCGGTAGGACGGAGAGCACTTCCATTCTGTAGGGTTGTGGTTCCTCTTCACTAACTGTGTGACCCTGTGAAAGTCACATCAGCTCCCACCACTAGCTCCCTTTCCCAAGAAGAGTAAGAAAATGGATGTAAATACCCTTTGGCTCCCCAAAACCCCTGCAAAGGTGAAGCCTGGCCCAGGCAGTAAGTACTCAACAAATGTAGCATGAGAGGGGGCTAGAGGGCGAGGGATGTTTGAGAGAGTCTTTGCACAGGGGTCTCTGACCCCAGGGAACCAGGACTGCAGCCTTTGCAAAGCCTCCTGCAGCCTAACCAGAAGGAAGCAGAGGCCCAGGGGCATTCTGTACAGGCTGCCCTCCTGTGACCTTCTTGGGGGTCATTTCCACGGGCGGATTGGCTGTAGAAGACCAGGAAGATGGATAATCATGGCAGCATTTCCAGGCAGAGGAGGAGGACTTTGGTGTCCACTGGAGGCGGGGCTGTTGACCCAGCTGCCACCCTTACCTGATACTCTTACCTGATCTCGGAGGAGGTGAGACCTTCACTCAACAAACATTTACTAAACTTCCTCTTGTGACTGGCACGGATGGGGCTGGGGACTGGAGTTCTACAGACAACTAGGGTCTGAGAGGGGAAGGGATTGGCCAGTGGGTGCCAGTGCCAGGATTTGAACCTGAGGCTACTGGGCTGGTGCCCGTGCCCCCTCCGTGCCGCCTGCCTCAGTGACTCAGAACTAACGAGCTCTTCAGCCTAGGCTGGAGCCCCCGGCATGGGGATTCCAGCATTGCCTTGCCTTCCTGAGCAACTTCTGGGGCTCCCTGCCCTTCCGCCTTCCCAGCCTCGAGTTCCCATCAGGGGCCTCAGACCCCTTCCTGCTGGAGCTTTACGGGGTCTCTGAATGAAACAAGACCCTCTAGGACCACCAGAGAGTTAAGCCAAGGAAATCCTCAGCTCCCTTTATCTCCGGAGAACCCAGAGGCTGGAGGGGAGGGAGCAGGGAGCAGGGGAAGTGGGAAGCCAGCTCAGCCCGCCCCCTCCGCCCTCCCTCCCTCCCTCTGCTCTGCCTCCATCCCTTTCTCCCTCCCTCCTTGGCCAGCCCGCAGGGCCTGGGGTTCTGGGCCAGCAACAAGTTATAATTGCAAACATGGACCAAGGAACCAGAGGCGGCCCAGAGGCCCGGGGTCTGTGAGCTGCTGTTTGAGGCTGCAGGACACTGGGTGAGTGACGGGAGGTCCTGCAACTTCCTCCAGCAGGGCAGAGGGGGTTGGGGTCAGAGCCTGGAATTCCTCTCCTTTCTCCTCTCTTCCCGGACACATCTCACATCTCGGAGCCCTGCTCTCTCCTTCTGACCCCAGCCAGCCCCTCTAGGGTCTCCCTTCCCCACTCCCTCCTTTGACTGAGACTTTAGCCCTGGTGAAGGGCTGCCCTCCGATGCTCCTGTCTTGTGCCCACCCCTGCCTGGACAGGCACCAACTCAGCTCAGCAGGGCCTGGCCCTTCCCCCACTCCAAAGAGGCCCCAGCGCCCTCATGGAGGCAGCAGGGACCCCCAAATCACCCCCAATGGCATGGTCCCTCACTCATTTGATCCCTGCGTGACACCTTCCTCCAGGGACAGTCAGTGACCATGGCTGTGGTTATTATTACTTTTGTTAAAGGCTGCTTTGCTTCCTGCTTCCAGCATTCCCCCCTCCCCACCCCCCCACCCCACCAGGTCACAGTTCTGTGTCACAGATTTTTTGACTCTCAGCTGGCTAGGCCAACAGAAATGTCGCCAAACAGTTTTAATCCTCTGGGAACAGTTCTGCTCTTGCTATCCCATGCAGGCCCCGGGGAGAGGTCGTGCTGGGCAGCAGAGAAAGGGACAAACGTTTGATTACGAGTCTTTTACAAGTCAGGCAATTTCCCCACATTTAAATCCTCCCAAATAACCTGGGGAGGAAGGTGGTGTTGTCTCCTCCTTGTAAATGTCAAGGAGCAAGAAGCCCAGAGACGTTAAGCCACTAGCCCTAGGTCACACAGCTTGTAAACTATTCTGGGATCTCAAGTCTGACTCCAAAGCCTCATCTTTTCCCATGAGGTCACATCTATGGGAAGAAAAAGAGGAGATTTTGCTCTTCTCAAAACCACTGGGTTGTGTAATTTACAAATAAAAGCTAAGGGTCATAATCTCGGACAGAAGGGATGTTGATCTCTGAAGATTTGACGTGCCTTATTGAGCAGAACCAGGAAAGCAGAATGGGGGCCGGGGAGGCGGGGGAGGCTTGGGAATGGTCACCTTCAGGAGAGGGGTGATGGCGCTGGAGACTGCCTGCCCACCCCTCTCTTCTCCTGCTACTACCCAGCCCCCAGGGAGCGGGGAGGGGGTTGTTGCGGGGGAGGGCTCCTGCCCCTTTAAAACCCAACTCCTACCTCAGTGTTCAGGTTAGGTTAGAATGGCATTTAAAAAAATAATAATTTTACCTTCTCTACACATATTAACCACAGAAAAATATTTTTAAATTGTACTAAATGTTAAAGGAGAACACAAAGGAAATAAAGAACACCAGAAGTGTAAAAACCAGTCTGGTTTCAAAAGTGTTTCTGATCCTGTGATAACTCAGTGCCAGCCCCCAAAGACTGCCACCACCTCAAAGGCTCTTTGCTTGGCTTCCTGCCCACCCAGCCCCAGCTCGTCTCCAGTCACTGCTGTCCAGGCTGCTTTCTGCCCCTCTCCGTGAACTCTGGATCCCTTCTTGGCCAAGGCCAAAGACAGATTCTCACAAACCGTTGGGCTTCCCTGTTCGTTTTGAATTTTCCAGACCTCCTGGGTCCTGCCCCTTAGTTCCAATTTACCACCTTGGCAGCTGATTGGCAGGTCTATGATGATTGGCACAACCACCTTCCAATGAATTTACTCTCTCCTGCTCCTTTCCCTGCAGGGCTTCTTGTGTGAGGTTGAGTTGGTAGGTTGTTGATTGCGCAAACATGCTGAGAGAGGAGGTGGGCTGAGACCAGCTGCACACCTTCCGCGTGCATTTCTGCAGGGACTTCTTTTGGTTGTTTGTTTCTAATTTGTCCGTCCTGAGGGGCACCTTCTTCTACCTTTGCCCTCCAGTGACGGTGGAGTCTGGGGCAAGAAAACAAGCCAGAGGGAGGTTGGGAGGGTGGGAAAAGCATTTTACAGTCTCATTGGCTATGACACATGGGCAGCAGGGCAACCCCCTCACCCACCCCAGCAAAGGCCTCCCAGGACCCTCGTCTTCAGAGCGGGTCCTCCTTCGTGGGCCCATGTGTGCCAGAGATGCCCAGGGACTGGGTTCCAGGAGACTCAACCTCCAGGCCCTGCACTACCACAAGTCTCTTTGTGACCTTGAGAACCTGCTTCCCTGTGTAGGCCTCTGTCTTCTCATCTGTTAAATGGGGGCACTAATGCCCCCTCCCCGAGTTGTGTCAGGAGCGCACGTGCTGTGGGTGGTGGCGTCCACGCTGGGCATCAACAGAGTGTAGATGTCAAGGTAATATGTTTCTGTCCCTCCTTCCCTGCTCCAGGTCGCCATGGGGATAGCTGCCCTGGGCCTCCTCTGGGCAGTGCTCGTGCCCCCTCTCTCTGTGTTTGGAATCCCCACCGAGGAGCCCACCTCTGGGGAAGCCGTGGCCTCTAGTTCCCCTGGGCTCTGTCGACGGTGCTGTGACTCTGAGGACCCCCTGGTCCTTGATGATGCTGCACACGCGTCCTTGGCCTCTCCGTCTGCCCTCCCGTACATGCTGCCTGAGGTCAGGCCCTACATTAACATCACCATCCTGAAGGGTGAGGACCCACACGTGGCTTGGGCTGGACTGGCCCGGTCGGGGACAGGGAGGGCGTGGGGATCTCTTCCTGGGCTCAGGGAGGTGAGGTGGAAGGAGCAGAAGAAACCAGGACAGAAAACTGTCCCAGACCTTTTGTTTCATTCACACATTTATTAAGTACCTACTGCATACCAGGACCGTTCTGAATTCTGGGATGGAGAGTGTACACATCAGACAGAGATGCCACCGCTGTGGAGCTTCTGTTCTAGTGGGGGAGGCAGACAGTGAGCAGTAAACATATCACCCAAGTTAATGAAATGGATGGTGATAAATGCTATGGAAGTGACGAGGTGGAGCAGGGTAAGGGGTGTCTGGAGTGCAGCTGTGGGGGGCAGTTTGCATATTAAATGGGGGTGGTCAGTGTAGGTCTCACTGAGAAGGTGGGGAGAAGCCACGTGGGTATCTGGGGAAGAGCATTCCAGGCAGAGTGCATAGCAGGTGCAAAGGCCCTGGGGCCAGAGCGGACCTCATGTGTTTAAGGAACAGGGGGCAAGGGGAGGAGCTAGGTTGGAGACAAAACAGATCAGATGTGGGCTCCTCCTCTGAGTGAGATGGGGAGTGGGGGAGGGTTTGAGCAGAGGAGGGACCTGGCCCAGCTTAGGTTTCAAATGGATCACTCTAATTTCTGTGGAGAATAGACAAGGGTAGAATCAGGGAGAGCCGTGGGGGCCACTAGGGCCGCCCAGGTGAGAGCTGGCTGCCTGTCCTCTAAAACCAAATCTCAAGGAGGCTACTTCTGCTGCTGGGGGTTGTGAATGGCTGGTCCTGGGGCCAGACCTTGACATCCTTAACCTCTGTCTTTGCTCACGACAACCCCGCAAGTTCGCTATGTTGTCATTCCTCCCACTTTGCAGATGGGGAAACAGAGCCTCCGAGAGGGCAGAAGCTTTCCTGGGGTCACACGGCTGTTAGGGGCAGAGCTAAGATTTGTCGCTGAGGACTCCAGAGGGTCAGCTGGCACCTGAGACCCTCGGGCCTTCAGATTTTGTGGTTGAGGACCCCTCTTGTGCTCTCCCTACTTTGCCCACCACCTCACACATCACCGCTTCCCCAAGGCCAGCAGAGCCCTCTGTGTGAGGTTGGCGAGGTGCTTGGATGCTGACTGAACTCCCCCCTCACTATCCTCCTTAAAACCCCATGTCACCTCTCCTGGGACAGTCTAGCTGCCTGCTGGGCAGAAGGCGTCTGGCTGGTGTCAGGAGTCCTGGGTCCCAGCCCCAGCTCTTCAGCTCCCTTGCTGTGTGGGGCAGGCTTGTCTCTCCCTCCCTGGGCTTACTGCATCATTTGTAAAAAGGAGAAGGTAACCCCCTCTTATAACTACCCTTCACACGCTCCCTTGGGGCTGGGGCGAAGCAAGCGCTCTGCAAACTGTAAAGTGCAGGGCACATGATGAGGTAGGTAGTTCACCAACGAGGCCAGTGAGGAAGACCTCCACAGAGCCATGGACTCCCTCCTCCCTGCTTCTCTCCAGGCTTCTCCTCCAAGGACCTGTGTCCTCTTTTCTGCCCCTCCTTCCCCTCTTCCCAGCAGCATTGCCATGGTCATAGGGGACCCCGGGACAACACAGGGCTGTCTAGTTCATTCAGAGGGATGTGGCTAAGGGTGTGATTGCAGGCTCTGTGACAAGCAGCAGAGAAATACTTGGAATCTGGTCCCTCAAGAAGTAGGTGGTAAAAATATAAAAAGTAGGTGGTCACCTGCTTTTCTTGCGTTCGAAGTCAGCCTGGAACAAGGGCTGGCCAGAGGCGTGCCTGCCTGGGAACCAGGGGAGATGCTGCCGGAGCCCAGGGCAGGGGGAGGTGGGCTGGGCAGTGCTGGGTGAATCGTCCTGCCTCGTATCTGCAGAGTTCACCCAGGGCTTTCCCAGAGGGCTGGAACATCCCTGTGAGGCAAGCATGATCCTCTTCAAGATACAGACAAAAAAATCCCAAGACACCAACATGAAGGCCCCAGGTCGTGCAGAGGGGCGGTAACGCCCACCAAGGGCCTCCTGGCTCCGACTCTGGACACTTCCTTCCGGGTGATCCCTTCTCTGGGGCAGAAATGCCACGCCCACATCCCCCTGAAGTCCCGCTGGGTGCAGTGACACCTGGGGTCCAGGCCTGGTCTGGCAGAGACCACAGTCAGACCCTCACTGCTGAGGAGGGAGCAGGCTGGCATGGAGACAGACCACAGTTGGGGTCCTGCTCCCAAGCTGTGCCACCGGGAGAGTCCCTTCACCTCTCTGTGAGTGGAGGTGGACGTGGTGTCTCCTTTAGAGGGGCGCTCGGGGTGGCGATGCCTGGCATGCAGTAGGTGCTCAGTAGGTGCTGGCTCTTCTCTGACCTGCCGTCTCTGGGCAGGGGCGAGCCTTCTGCAAACGCTTAGGAGCCCCCTGGGTGCAGGCGTGGGTGCCTGCCCTGACTTTTCTCCTCTTTGTCTCCGCAGGTGACAAAGGGGACCGAGGCCTGCTGGGCTCGCCCGGGAAGCTGGGCAGGGAGGGCCCCCGGGGGGAGCGCGGCCCCCAGGGCACCAAGGGTGCCAAGGGGCAAGCAGGCAGCCCTGGCGGCCCGTGCCAGATGCGCTTCTCAGCCTTCTCGGTGGGCCGCAAGACGGCCCTGCACAGCAGCGAGGGTTTCCAGCCGCTGCTCTTCGACACGGTCTTCGTGAACCCGGACGGGCACTTCAACCTGGCTGCCGGCCACTTCGTCGCCCCCCTGCGCGGCCTCTACTTCTTCAGCCTCAACGTGCACAGCTGGAACTTCAAGGAGACCTACGTGCACGTCGTGCACAACGACGAGGCAGCCGTCATCCTGTACGCGCAGCCCAGCGACCGCAGCATCATGCAGAGCCAGAGTGTGATGCTGGCCCTGGCGCCCGGCGACCGTGTTTGGGCGCGGCTCTTCAAGCGTGAGCGTGAGAACGCCGTCTACAGCGACGACATCGACACCTACATCACCTTCAGCGGCCACCTCATCAAGCCTGAGGACGATTAGTGCCTCCCATGGGGCAACTCTGGCCTGGGGTGGCCACGGGCAGGTCTGTGCCCTGCGGGGCCTCAGTTTGCCTGTCTGTAAAGTTGGCCCTGGGACCTGGCATTCTGGGCAGGCTTCCTCCTCTTTCCTTCCCTCCATCACCCCTCCCAGTCTGTTCCTGCCTCTCTCCTCTCTTGGACATTTTCAGAAACCTCCTAACCTCAATCTTCTAGAACTTTCCCAACCTTTTAGACCAGCACTTTTCAAACTTGAGTGTGCATCTGTATCACCCAGGGATTGTGTGAAAATGCTGGTTCTGATCCAGCAGGCGTGGCGTGGGCCCAGGATTTTGCATTTCTAGGAGGTTCCTGGGTGATGCTGGTCTATGGACCCCACTTGAGTAACCAGGTCCTATAATTTTCACAACATTCTGGAATCTTCCAAACATTCTAGAATCTTCCCAACATGCTTAAATTCTCTCACCCTTCTAGGACACCCCCTCCTCTTGTCTCTTGCGCCTTCTCCCTTCTCTCTGAGCTCCTGTCTGTGCCCCGACTTGTGCAGCCGCAGTTCATTTATTCAGTCATCAAACACTCACTGAGCGCCCGCTCTGTGCCAGGCTGGTGGGAAGGCTGAGGTGAACCAGACACAGGCCCTGCTCTCGGTGAGCACCCAGTCCAGCCAGGGTGGGGAGACACAGATTCTGAAACCAGACCCAGAGAAACACATGGGTCTCTGATCACACAAGTCTGTGTTCTGGGCATTCAGGCACTGTGGCCCCCCATTACCCACCACTCCCCAAGGCTGGCAGGATAGGGTACCCCAGGTGGGGGGTATCCTCTGCCTGTTCCTTTCTTTTTTTCCCAATGCCCATCATTAAAGCAAACCCAGGGGGGCCTTGGTCAGGGGAAAGGTGCTGTGAGGAGAGGACCCAGGGGTTAGGGGGCATTTTGAGGTAAGGGGGCCCAGACCCATAGCCCCCCACACGGCTGGGATGGAAGCCTGTGAGGACTCCTACCCTCCTTAGCACACGCCCTCCCTGCCCCGCTGCTGGGCGGCTGTCAGGGCCGTGCTCAGCCCGCTTTGCCAAAGGTGCCTGGGCCTCAGTTCTCCCAGGCTGCCAGCCACTGTCAGACACTGTCGTCTGTCCCCAGGTGCTCTGACCTCCTTGGTGTCTCTCGCCAGCCCAGTGCCTCCGGCTCTCCAGGTGTTGAGGCCCCGGGTGGGCAGCTCCTGCCCAGCAGAGCCGCCTCTGGCCCGCTGCTGCCTTTACAAATGCTGCCGGGCAATGAGCCAGGACAGAGGGCACCGGGCTTTGGACCCCTCAGCAGGTCTGGGGAACCAAAGCGAGCAACGTTCCAGGTCAATTGGGGGGACCCTCCTCTGAGCCATGATGCCAAGGGAGGCGCTGGGCGAGGCTGAGGCCAAGGGAGGGACATCAGGACTTCTGTCCCTTCCCCCTCTCCCAGGGTGGGACAGCCTGGTGGCCCCCAGCCTTCCCCTCCCGCAACCCCAGGTGGCCCGAATCTCTCCCCAGAGGGAGACGGCCTCCGCCCATTGGTGCTTATGCGGACTCCGGGGCAGAGGTGGCCCCGGTGATGGTCTCTGGTGCTTACTCATAGCCAGGGGCGCCATGGCTGCACGGCTGGGGGATGGCAGCAGGGCCTGACCCGGTGCCGTGAAGGCTGGACCTGTACAACCGCCCCCAGCCCGACTTCACCCCTGCCCTGCTTGTCCAGCATGATTAAAAGTTGTGCGTCTTCTTGGCAGTTCAGCCTGGCTCTTTCTGCTCGGTTTCCTTTGCCCACCTTGGGAGGACAGCCCATCCTGTTCTGCTGGGCCCAGGTTCAGGGTCCCAGAGGGACCAAGGCAGCCCAGGGCTCCATTCCACGTGCTCGCCACCCACAAAAGAACCAGCCTGCCTTGGTCACTCACTCAGCTGCTGTGCCTTGGAGGCAGTGGAACCAGCTCAGGGTCTATTGTGCCGTGCCCTGGCTGTGGCCCTGGGAAAGTCCTCACATCTCAGAGCCTCAGTCTCCTTGTCTGTAAAATGGGAATGGTGATCACCTATCTCATGGTGTGGCCATAAGGATTAGAAGAGAGGTTGCCCGGTGAGCACTGCATTCCTCCTTTTTTTAAAAAAAAATTAATTAATTAATTAATTTTTGGCTGCGTTGGGTCTTCGTTGCTGTGTGCCAGCTTTCTCTAGTTGCGGTGAGTGGGGGCTACTCTTCGTTGCGGTGCATGGGCTTCTCTTGTTGCGGAGCATGGGGTCTAGGCGCGTGGGTTTCAGTAGATGTGAAACGTGGGCTCAGTAGTTGTGGCTCGTGGGCTCTAGGGCGCAGGCTTAGTAGCTGTGGCGCACGGGCTTAGTTGTTCCGCAGCATGTGGGATCTTCCTGGACCAGGGCTCGAACTCGTGTCCCCTGCATTGGCAGACAGTTTCTTAACCATGGCACCACCAGGGAAGTCCCTGCGTTCATCCTTTGAACCACAGCTACTGAGCACCTACTGTGTGCTGGGTATGCTGCTAGGCTTGGAGGCTGCAATTGCAGGCACAATCCATCACCTCCCCATGGAGAACACCCATGGAATTTATGGTCTATTGAGGCACTTGGACGTGCTGAACAAACCGCAGATCCTACTTGGGGCTCCTGTCTCATGTTTTGTGTGTAATATTTGCCAGAGAACAGGTGTATATTCTCTGGTGGAAGATGCTCCACGTCCTACAACGGGCAGTCTTGGTGGGTTCTGACTTCCGAGCTAGCATAGTAGCTACTCACATAAAGATACCGAACGTAATCGGTGGCGACTCCTCTTATTGGCTTGATGGGGGCATCTGCCCTGCCTGCGTGCCTGTGTTTGATGGCTCTCTGGGTACCATGTGGAAGAGGATGCTATAAAGACAAATCCACCATAACTGCCCCAGGATCCACCTGAGCCTGCAGCCACCCAGGCAGGGGGAGACATAAGTCTTAGTTTCCTTGGAGCCCATCTGGCCCCCGAAGGTTTCCCACCACACCTGAAGCCCTTGCAGCTCTCACGCAAGAGGCCCTAACAGGTCAGAGGCTACTCAGGGGAGCCATCCCACCGCCCACTTTTGGCCCAGGATCTGCTGAAGTGTCATCGGCCTCACCAGCACCCCTGCTCCGACACTGGTGGTAAAGGTCACCTCCAGCGCCAGGCAGGAGCCTTTGGTCATGGACATCATGAGGACTTGCTTTGCTAATTACTGAGGCAGAAAAGCTTTTGACACTACTTGCCAAGCACTTGCAGGAGGACTGAAGCTTGCCCTTTGCAAGCTGAGGCCAAAGGCCCCAGATATTTCCAGGCCACATTAGTTCAGGTCTCCAAAACTGGCAGCCCTCCGTTGTCTGATTGGACCTGCTACAAACACTTCTCCATCCGTTCTTCAGAGGCGACCTCTGGTCTGTCTGGGCCAGTTGTTCCCATGGGATCCCAGTTCCTGACTTGGAGGTATATCGTCAGTGGGGGGGGTAAGAGCCACTAGATCTTTGTTATGGAGACTCTCCCAACAGGTAAGTTCTTGGTGGAGGTCCTTCGGCAAGGGCCCTGGGAAACTGGAGGCCCCCCTCAGCCCGCTGCCAGGTCTGTGGGGACAACGTCCCCCGGGGATCTGCAACGTGTAGTCCTGGTGACTCCAGCGAGCTAGCGAAATGCCTGTGTAGCCGCCTGCCCACCCTGGGGACCATCCCTTTCTTGTCCTGAGTGAGGACCGACTGTAATGGTGTTGGTGCATTAGCAGCAGCTGGCATGTGGGTCCTTGAAGAGCGGAGAGCGTTTGTTGGATGAATGACTTTTACTGAGCATAGGGGGAGAGAAGTAGCGGGAAGCAAGAACCAGGAATCCTGGGCCAGGGGCTAAAATCCTGCGACTCTCCTGTTCCCTCCCCTCCGGCCAGCTCCGTAGGCCTGTCCCAGTAGCTACATGCTGCCACGTGTACATCTGGAGGAAGGGAAAAACACGGGCAGAAACTCAACGAGATCAGAAACAGACGTCAAGAACATCATGGGTGGGGCCGAGCTGGGGAGAGCTGGGGCCAGCGGGTGGCCGCAGGAGCCAGAAAGGAAGGAGGGATTTCCACGACATGAGTCAGGAGGGCACGGAGCTAAGCCAGCGTGGCTGGGAGCAGCTGGTCTGCAAACCCAGGAAGACGGGAGGCTGGGTGGCCAGCAACAAGCCTTGGGGTTGCAGCTCAGGGTCCGGATGAGGTGTGAGGTCGCCTGCAGGTGGTGGCGTGGACAGGAGGAAGTAGTAATTGGGGTGCAGGCACATGGAGGAAACCGGGGACCCTCTGCAGGGAAGCAGCAGTGTTGGTGGTGGTGGGGTCGCTGGTGGCTGACCTGCATCTTGCTGACTGCTCTTCACCACTGCGGGCAATGAGTTGATGCCGCCGACTCAGATGTACACAGAATAGAACTTGCTTTATTTCTCCATGACTAAGCTTAATTTCCATGCTGCTGAAGTTGAAGAAATGCGATTTTGGCCAGCTGGGGTTCTTCTCGTACCACATTTCCTGGGGGGCTGCATCTGAGCGCCACATCCCGGCAGCGAGAGGGGTCACCTGGCAGTGCATGTCCAAAGGACATCTGCTGAGTGTGTCAATGTCCCCTCTGCTCCAGGCTCCCGGTTCCGCCTACATACCTGCTGAACTACGCCCATTCCTGCAGAGCCTCCTGGGTCCTCATTCCTCTTGGGACATCCGGATCCTCTCTGCATGCACGCTTATCTCACAAATTCTGTATCCCTCAGAGGGCCGTCTGAGCCCAGCCCTATCTGTTGGAATGCACTATCTGGCCACCTCCCCGGGGTTCTGCCTGGGAAGAGAGGAACGGCCCCTCTGAGTCTCAGATGCCCCAGACCTGCTGGGGGTCTTCCCTGGAGCCCTTGCCAGGCTCAGCTGGGAAGGAGGGGCCCGGATCCATGTTCACCAGGAACCCCAACACTGACACTCCTTTCTTCCCCTCTGCCTGCCTCTCCCCGGGGCATCTTGGGTGTTTGGGTAGAGGGGACCATGTGTCTACTCAGAGCATCCTCTCCCAAAGCTCTTGGCTGGGAATGCAGCTCTTTCCTTCTTATTTTGAAACGCAAGTACCTGGACAAGACTCCTTTCCTCTCTCTGCTTTTTGTTACATATCCTTGCCGTGTTTGTTAGGATGATCTTGGGTGCAAGGAACACATTGAACAAAGAGCTTCAAAAAAGGAAAATGAACCCTAAATCCCAGGGTGGGGCAGCTCTGGGGCTGGTTAATTCAGCAGCTCAGCAAAATCACTGAGGACCCTGATCTGTCCCATATTTCCACTCGGCCCACTTAGTGCAACAACTTTGTTCTCAAGCCAGCTTCCCTCAGGGCCACAGGATGGCAGCCACAAGGTGGTGACCACAAGATGGCTGTCCAGGTGTCACATCAGACATCACGAGGGGGAGTGAAAGAAGAGCTAGAGATTCTTTCACCCAGCAGCCCCTGCTCGCTTTTCATTGGCCAGAACTGATCATACGACCACAACTAACCCAACCCCTGGGAAGGAGAACAGGACGATGGGAAGCAAGGTTTGCCTGTGAGCCCCAAGGGTCTAGGCTGAGCTCCCGAGTGAGGTCAGAAGTGTTGTTGTGGCCGCGGGGAGAAGTGGTCACGATCACCGCTGGTTCATTTCTCATCAAAGCTCTCCAGCCACATCCTCAGGTGCGGCTGTCTTCCTCGGCCAGGGTATCTCGGTTCTGGGAAGACTTCTCAGACTTGGGGGACAGCCTTGGTCCTGAGCGATCCCTGATCACAGTGCTTATCAGTTATTAGCCTTGCCCACTGGGCTCCGAGGTCTTGGGGCACGGGGGCTATAGCAGCACCAGATGTCATCACCTCTGCAAGCCCTCCCCAACCCTCCCCAAAAAGAGTTGATTTTAACTCCCTGAGTTTAACCGAGGCTGCTGGAGACAGATGCTGCCTGGGTTCAGATCTAACCGGATAAAGGAGAGCAGGTCACCTCCTGACCTCTCTGTGCCTCAGTTTCCTCACCTAGAAAATGGGGATGATAATAACAGCATCTACCCCAGAGAGCTGTCGTGAGGATTAAAGGGGTAAGTATATGAAAATCCTGGCGCAGAGTAGGCTCTTTATAGGTTTAAATATTATCTGAAGGTAGACATTTTATTATACTCATTTTACAGAAGAAGAAACTGTATTTGGATAATTTCCTTCCTGTGTCATATGTTCATTCATTCAACAGTTTGGGGTTCACTACCCATGATGGGCCCTGCTCTGTGCTGGGCAGAGGGGGCAAAGCAGTGAACAGAAGTCCACACGGTCCCTGCCCTCGTGGGGCTTACTGTCTAGTAGGTGAGATGAGTGTTATACAGATCATCACACTAGGGCCTCACATTAGGGTAAGTGCTCTCAAGGTAATAATGGAAGAAGCTAATTTGGAAGGTTGGGGGGTTGGTCAGAGACGGCCTCTCTGAGGAAGAGGTGGTTCAGCTGAGCCCCAGAGAGTGAGACAGAACCACAGGTGGAGGAACCCACGTGGGCAAAGGCCTGGAGATAGGAAACTGCTCAGCACTTCCCAGGAACTGAAAGAAAGGCCGGGAGGCAGGAAGGAGCAGGTATGCAGGACCTGGGATTTTGGATCTATCCGGTGGGCCGCATCTGAAGGAGATTCAGGTCATTGGGTCAGAGGTGGATGCCGGATTCAAACCCATATCCTGAGCTATTATTTCTCGGAGGCTGCAACACCTCCCCAAGTTCTTTGGTCAGTCTCATGACAGGGCAGGACTCCCTTACAGGAGTCTGTGAGGAGCTCGTGCCCTTGCACCTCGCTACCCACAGCCAACGGTGCTCCGGAGCCAGACTGCACATCACAGTGTTAGCTTGAGATCGGCTGAGGTGGCAGGACCTACACCATAGAAATTGGCAAATGTTACAATTTTAATTTTTTCAAAAGAAGGTCTTCTTTAAAAATGCAGCCCCCTGGCTTCCCTGGTGGCGCAGTGGTTGAGAGTCCGCCTGCCGATGCAGGGGACACGGGTTCATGCCCCGGTCCGGGAAGATCCTACATGCCGCGGAGAGGCTGGGCCCGTGAGCCATGGCCGCTGAGCTTGCGCGTCCGGAGCCTGTGCTCCGCAACGGGAG